TTGCTCGTACAGTATTGCGGGAAAAAAGGTAACAAAAATCCGGTAGAAACATTTTATTCTATCAACTACGCTCGTGTGTATATTAATAGAAGCATTTTAATTCTATTACGAATTGCTACGTACGAAAATTAGGCTAGTTCACGATTGACATTTTTGGTGGAGAGTAAACTCAAAAAAAATTTATTCTCCAGTTTAATCTTCCTTTAATACACGCTAGAACCATCTCAATCCAATACCAAGATATTAGTTCGATTTTTCGATGAATTGAAGACCTTCAAAATTCCAACTAAATAGTAATGTAATTTTACATTTTTCTAACTTTTGTGTGATATTTTATTATTTTAATTTTAAAATTCTGAAAATACAAAAAATCCGCAGATAGTTCCATTAAAAAATAATACTTTATGCATATTAAAATTTTAACATCCTTTTTCTTTAAATAATAGTCTGATAGCCTTAAAATCCTCCCTATCAAACATTTCACGATTAAGTTTATTGGGGGTGTGTTAGAAATGAAGCAAAAATACGATTCCAAGCGCAAAATTATTCCTATGAAACACTGTGCAATTAAAGATGGGTTGAAAAAAAAATTCAAATAAACTGTACCGAAGAAATGCGCACCATAAAAATGTTCAAAAAAGAAAATAATTGAACCTTCGATATTTTTGTGTAAGATGGTCAATAATTGTGGCCTACTGTAGTCATCTTTCTGAACTGGGAAAGCAAATAGTTTCATAAAAATTACACCACGTGCCATACTTGCATAAAAAATTTGTAAAGATATTACATGACATAAACCAATGTTAACGATAACTATAAAAGGCGTTGCCACGAGGTTGGCGAGACACTGGCGTGACGAGAAAAAAATTCCATGCAAACTTTCGAATAGTTCAGAAGCAAATAGACATCACGGCTGCTGCGCCATATAATCCCGAAGTCTATCCCACTCACTTTGTTGCATTTTCGGTGCATTTATTTCGGCATGCATTTCATCTTCTGCATCGAGAAGCTCCACCTCGATTGCATCTTCATCCACCTCCGCTCTCGTGAACTCCTCGTCTACCAATCCTGCAAGCCGCAGGAAATTATGTACCCCTAACGTGGCCACCACAATTGCTACTTGCATTGGGAAGGGATATCTGGGCTCCAATCCAAGATCTTCCATCTTTGTTTCCACACACCTAACGCACGTTCAATGACATTCTTGCATAACGAGTGCTTGAAGTTAAACTTCTCTCAAGAATTTTGCAATCTACAACGATGTCCCGTTCGCTCATCTCGAAACAACTGAAAATGGTACAGTATGTCCTAACCTTTGTACGGGGACATATACCCAGGGCGATGAGCAAACCCAGAGTCTACTAAATAGTACTTTCCCGAGGCCGACAACGGAAAATGTATTTCCAAATTGTGGATATCACATGCAAGTATGCGCGCATCATGCGTATTGTCGGAGTATCCTGCTAGCATAAACGTGAAGCATAAATTAAAGTCACAAGCTGCCAACACATTCTGTGTCAACCCTCCTTTTCGTCCCATGAAGTTCAGACGCTCATGCCTCGATAACACAACTTTGACATGCATTCCATCAATAGCATCGATGCAGTCTCCAAACAATGGATGATTGCTCAGATTCGGCATGTGTGGCTCGACACCGTCATTGTAGTTCGTACTCTGAAGAGTCAAGCGCATTGAAAGCGTGACGACCGCACATAGAACCTCTTTAACGTAGTGACATACAGTTTGCAATGAATGGTTGAAAATTGTTGTCACATCCCGATATCCCTTTCCGTGCGCTAATATGTATAGGAACATGCCAACTTACTCGTAGATATCAACCTGCTGGCTACTGCGTAGCCCATGCTCGTTGCGCAACACATGAGCGAAATGTCGAAGTATTGTGGGATACATATGAATTTCTTGATAGCACATCTGACCATTCTCGCCCATTGTCTCCATCATAAACATGTGACCGTTCCTGGAGAACGAAAAACGTTGTACACGACGCCACTGCCTATGGTAATAATTACGTACGTCGTCGCCGACAATTCTATGGTATGTAACCCATGTCGTTCTATTGGCTGCTAAATAGTAGAACGCAGTTGAAGTTCAAGTCATCCGCAATGCCATACATGTTGAATTACTGAAATTACACAGCGGGTTTTGGAGTTGAGTGGAACGCAATTTCGTCACACACCCTTACAGCTCCGCATTTTGTTCTTCATCACTCTGTGCATGGAAATTTATAGAAAGTGGGAATGATTGGGAGTACACTATGTGCACCGGTGCTCTTGCTTTCAAGTTGTAAGAACTGTGTCAAATTTCATGTTACATCCAATTCAACCTACAATTGCCTCATTCGACGCGTGAATTATTAACATGCTCAAATGACCGTGGTCAACAAGTTAAAACTGTTTTGACATTGCAACACGCAAAACATTTAAACACAATAATGTACAACGGGGACAGACAGATGCATGCAAAAGTTAAAAAGTATTCGTGACAACACATACAAGTACATCTAACGTGAACAATCAAAGGCGAAATTGCTTGTCCCACTCGTTGAACAGCCACTCAATCTACTCAAATTTTTCATACGCGTCTTTCATAGTGACGAGCATGTCCCGATAGGGCTTTTTAGCCAGAATTGCACAGGCGAAAAAGTTAAGCGTTGTACGCCGTTCAAGTCGTCCCATCGCTAACAACTTCTCTACACAGGCAGCTCCAGCGTTGTTGTTTGAGGCCATCATGGTATTAATCTTCGCCGGCACTTTCTTCGCGACACTGGTGGCCGAATTGATGGAGAATGACAGCTCTCGTGCAGACATTTTTTTTCTTCTTACATTATAGCGTCCCATTAGAGGACTTCCTTTTACCGCCGCTTGTGGTGCTGGAGACGTTCATGCAGGATCCATCAGGCATTTCCTCTACCTCATCACTTGAACCGAATCCCTATCGATCGGGATTGCATCCCGATTGTCTTCCAGCGCACTGTCCTCGAACAACCGGAACCCCATTCGGTACAACTTAGTTAGCATGACAGCGTACTTCTCCCTGTCGGAACTGTCGCTGAATAGTTGACGATAGCGAATGTGTATCTCGCTCTCGTCATTGTCCTTGAACTCCTTGTAGTCTTTATTCTCCAGCGGAAAAGAGCTAAAAAAGATGACATCAGGTCAAAGGGAATTCAAAATGTACCGGAAAATAAAGGATGGGATAGTTGGTTCAACATTGTGAGATACGTGTGCGGCGATTTGAAGCATTACCTTAATCTTTCGGTTTCATTATTCCTCCGATGCGATGACTCGACCGGTGGATGGATTGTACTCGACCCCACTGCCATTTAACAGCTCGAAGAGACGTCTGTGGGTTCAACGTATGGCATCCCAATGGTTACGCAGTTGTCGCTTGCTCCAGTTGTGCTCGGTGATTGAGTTGAATAGCATGGAGATTCGTTCCTAGCCATGTTTTGTAAAACAACGATGGCTATGATGGCCCTCAACAATTGCGGTTTCACACACTGCAGTGAATGTTTGGATCTCTGATACATTCCATCGAGCATAAGGTTTCGACCGTGAGGCTCGACCCAGCTCTTGTGCAGCGAAAGAGTTGAGCAGCTGACCGTATCCTGCCTGCAAAGTCAAGTAGGGCACCAAGAATAAGAAAGCTCCTGAATATTCATTTTAGCAACTGAAAGATTATATAATATCAACAGATTGTGCAATTTGAAATTGATAAAAAGTAAATGTGAATTAGGTTGTGTAGATGTACTATTCTAAAGCATTTGGATACATTTCCTAAAGGAATTGTATTATTGTAGGAAAAGTCGACTTCAAACACGTGTACCCACATAATTTTTTTGTGAAGAATGTCAAGCTTGAATCTTAGAACACAATAGCTATTCTCAAAACCCTTTTTTCATCATCACTAGTAATGCTATAGTTCAACTGAATAGCTAAAAGAGATAACACAGTCACAGTTGACTGAGTGATCCTATCTTTAAAAGCAAAATGCAGCGAGCATAAGCACGAGCGTGTAACCAAGATTCTTTTCCAGAAATTGCATAGAACTTGTAGCCTCCACAAACATTATAATGGTTCCAGGGACAGATTTTGTTACGTGTTGACACACTTAGCCAACCCACTTGGGCCTATGGTCCACTCATGTCGAATCACGTGGCACTCCAGTCGAGGTGGTATGTATGGCCGAGGCCCTTCATGCCGAACTACGTGGCACTTTAGCCGAGGTGGGTATCCGAGGCCCTTCTTATCTGAGGCCCATCTTACCCGAGGCCATTCTATTCGAAGTCCTGAGGCTGTCAGCAGTACTGCTCCCCAGAGATCTAGTCTTACACAAGGATCCTCACTGAGTGATTGATGGGACACCCATCATAGAGCACAAGTGCCTTGTCTTGTCAACATAGTGGCAGAGCCGTCAATTAATTAATGTGTAGCAGGCTAGGAAGTCAAATGTGACACCTATAATTGGACGGGTAAACTTACTAGATGAGGCCACGTGTTCTCCCAATCAAGGGCCACGATCCAAGTTGTAATACTATAAATACTCTTCATGTATCTCTCACAAAGGTAATGCAAGAATTAATATAAGAAACAACACTTTACTCAATTCTCTCTTATTATCTTGCAACATAATACGAGTTTACACATTTTCATATACACATTGGCAAATATTGATTGGTAATTATTGTACAATCGATCTACGAACATCTCGTCGAATTCCGAACGTTCATGTCCCACGCCGTTGAGCTACTCCCACGCCCTTGATATGTTCGTTTTAGACCGTCCACGTGTCTTTACGTGTTGGACTTTCGCTTACGTGTGTGTGGGTGGATCCGGCATCTGTTGGCAACATTTTATGGGGTCAACATATTGGCTCCGTCTATAGGAAACCGTACTATAACCACGAGCAACCGTGTGGAAGAAGCTTATCGAAAAGAATATTTGGGCATCCCCCTTGAAAAATGATTTGTTCTTGCAAAAGAATAAGTGGAAGCCCCACAACTTAGCAATGATCTGAGATCGGAACAGAGGAGAATGAGTTCAGATGGGGATGTACCCCCTAGGAAGCTAAGAGAAAATGTGGGAATGCCCCCACTGGCAGCTGCCCCTGCAGCTCGACATCGGCCTCACCACCACCACAGAAGAGGTGGGATGCGGATGGCCGCTCAATTTTCAAGGGAAATGGCCACCATGGCCGCAAATATGAGGGATATTGCTAGTCGAAATATGGCCATGAGAGAACTCATGGCCCAAAGGCAAAGCCAAGGAGGCTTTCCCATTCCTCCCTATGCCTCCAGGAACATTACGACCAAGACGAGGAAGTTCAAAGCTAAAGGGCTATACTGACAGAATACAGTCGAGGTAGGAACCCCGTAGAGAAGGAAGTAGAAGTTGATGTTTTCTCCAATTATGCTGCTGGCCCACCGAGGCCCGTCATAACCACGACAAGTTTTCACTAACATATGAGCCAGAACAAAGACCTAGGAGGTCTAACAGTGTCTTTGACAGAATTAGCCCCGCAGTACCGAGGCACAGGCAACAACAACAGCAATGCGAGCCTCGGAGTAGACCACAGCCCCCACCTCCAATGTCTCACCAGTCGGAGGAAAGGCATGAGAATGCCCCCCGTGCTGCTCTGCCTAGAAATAGGTGCCAAATGAGGGAATAGGAGGCTAGGACCCAGGCTGGACCCTCTCACCAAATACCTAGGTATGAAGCCGAGGAGAATAGTGACTCAGATGAGCAGTAGAGGTCCTGTGACTTGGATGATGACGATAAAAATCTGTCATTCTCAAGGGAACTAAGAAATGCCCAGGTCTTGGGCCACTGTGTGATGCCAAAGATACCAAAGTATGATGGGAGAGCCGACCTCGAGAAATACCTAAGCGCTTATAAAACCCATATGAGCTTTAGAAGTGCCACCCCAGCCGTGAAGTATAGAGCTTTTCATTTAATGCTTAGTGGAGCGGCTGAAATCTGGTATAGTCAACTGCCGCCTAGGAGCATAAGGAGTTTGCAGAAATTCAAGACCACTTTCCTAAAGAGGTTTACAATGAGCAAGGAGGGAGAGGCCCCCATCCAGCGTCTTCAAGACATGAGGCACACATATGGAGAATCCCTAAAAAGTTTGTTATCATGCTTTACAGATGAAATAACGTATTGCGTGAAAGTTACGAATCGTAAAGCTTTGTCAGCCTTAAGAGGATGTCTGATTATAAACACCTTGTTCTGGAGAGACGTGCAAAACCAAGATTTCACCACCTACGACGCCCTGTTTGAAATGATGAGGTGGGAGATTATTAATGAAGAATTAATTAAACACCAGAATCGGGCCAGCAGAGGCCTCCCACCTCAACAAAGACAGCGCGCCAGGGGACCGACCTCCCACCTGATGGACTACCAAATGAACCCACCTGGTGGTGGAAATTCAAGGTAAGCACTTGTCATTACCACTTTGAATACAGTACTTACGTTGGCATATGAAGATGTCAATCCAACAACAACCGACCCGCAAGTAGGGACTTCACAATAGGCCCCCCGCAGAGGAAAAGGCCAGGGGCGCGGTTCAGGACCTAGGCCCCTGATTACTGTACGTACCACCGCTCCTATGGTCATGACACGCCTGAGTGTCGAGAGTATGCATACCGCAATCGACGGGAAAACACTCAAGACAAGAGGAATGATTCGTCGTACACGAACAGACCCTGCCTGAGAACGACCAGCAACCTAGGCGTGAGGAGGCCGTTCCCCGCCAGCGAGATGTCTCCCCCCGTTGAAGGAAACATGTCGTGGAGA